TGAAATGAATTAGCCATGGATTTACATGTATTCCCCATCCTGGTCCCCCCTCCCACCTCCCTCTCCACCCGATCCCTCTGGGTCTTCCCAGTGCACCAGGCCCGAGCACTTGTCTCATGCACCCAACCTTACAGCACATCTTTATTAAGACTAGTCACATTTCAAATGTTTGATAACCACATGTGGCCTGGGCTGCCATTTGTGACAGCACAGTTGCAGACCATGTGAGGGCTTACTTTTCCCCCAAATTCTGTCTGCATGGAAAAAGAATGTCTTCTGATCAGTGCCTAGTTCAAAGACTATCTGTTTTCTTCCTCCATAAAATGGGGATAATAATAGAAACAACTATTATTGTTAAACAACTCGTTTTCTTATTACGAGAAATAAATAAGATAATACATGCAAGTCATGGTATAGGATGGGTTGTTGTTTAGTCGCTAAGTCATGTCGAACTCTCTTGCTACCTCATGGGTTGTAGCCCACCAGGCTCCCTGTCCATGGGATTTCCCAGGCAAGAATGCTGGAGTGGGTTGCCATTTCCTTCTCCAGAGCATCTTCCCCACTCAGGGATTGAACCCGTGTCTCCTGTGGCTCCTGCACTGGCAGGTGGATTCTTTACTGCCACCAGGGAAGCACTACATGATGGGTAGTAAGTCTCAATATATGTTAGCTATTGTCATTTTTATTGTTAAGTTTGTTTTGGAAAATGAACTTACCCATCTTAGGAACTCCCTTATTTATATATTTTAAAATGTAGTTTATTTAGTGTCATGTTATTTTCTGGTGTACAGAAAAGTGATTCAGTTACACACACACACACACACACACACACACACACATTCTTTTTTATGTTCTTTTCCATTATGGCTTATTATAGGATATTGAGTATAGTTACCTGTGCTATACAGTAAGACCTTATTGCCTACCTATTTTATGTATATTAGCTTGTATCTGCTAGTCCCAAATTCCCAGTTTATTCCTCTCCCACTCCCTTTCCCCTTTGGTAACCATAGGTTTTTTTTTTTTCTATGTCTGGTAGTTTGTTTCTGTTTTATAAATAAGTTCCTTTGTGTCATATTTTAGATTCCACATATAAGTGATATCATATAACATTTGTCTTTCTGTTTGTAACTTACTTCACTTAGTATGATTATCTCTAGATCTATCCATGTTGCTGCAAATGGCTTTATT